TTCCTCTTCCTCTTCCTCTTCCTCTTCCTCTTCCTCTTCCTCTTCCTGTAGCTATTCCTTTTCCTCTTCCATCTTCAGCTCCATCTCCTTTCTTTATCCCGGAAACGGGCAGTAAAAATTACTTCACTTAAAAGCTTTCATCAACAGCTTCCATCTGATACCCATATTGTACAAACACATCCAAGGGTACCTTGGTCCACCTTTTCGGCTATATCTCGAGACCCTGGTCACTCAGAGATCTAAAAAATACTCTGTATTAAAGCACTCATAAGTAGCTTTGATTTGATACCCACAATGTAAAAACACATCCTAGGGTTACCCGGGTCCTCGTGAAGCGCCACCTGGTGGCGAGTGGAATCAATTAGCATATTATACTAACCTTCTCCGTGGAAAAATATATATATATACCAAATTTCATAATAATCGGCCCAGACACACACGACCAAAATGTATTCAATTCTAATGAATGCTATGTGCGGTACAAAAAAATACGTGCGGCAAATAGCAAAAACACACTCACTTAACCGACGCACCGCACACACACGCGTTATCGGATTTCAACCAAACTTCACAGAAACCTTTGGCAAAGCAACACCAACAATGTGTGAAACTTTCATTGTGTTCCTTACACGCGTTGCTGAGATTACCACGGACAAACGCACACTTTTTTTCGGCTTAATTTTTATATATATAGATTTGTTAAAAATTCAGTATTCTTTTTGATGAAATCACTTACACGAAAGTTCTCTCTTTTCACCTTCCTTATATTTTCCACATTTTTTTACTTATTCTTCTACTTTCAATTATCAATATTTAAACAGCTGTCAAAATCAAAACTGCAATTCAAAAAGCAGCAAATATTGAATATTGATTTCAAACTCTTGTTTTCATTTTGATTATGAAGTACTCGTATTAATAACATACACTCACAATCTCTTGTACTATACGCCTTCGTCCTGCAGATGTATGTAGACTCTCACTTGGATCCCAACCGTCTATTATGTTAGGCATCTGTTTGATTTTGATTAGTGTTGGGAAGCATCATCGAGTAATTTTGAGGATCGAGTAATTTTGACGGTACTGCATACTTTCTTTAAATATACACATTTTGGTAATATTTTAATGCTTAGTGTAGAAATCTCACAAGCTGGCAGCACTTTATTCAAATTAATATATTAATCCGAAATAACGGCGGTTGAATGGCTGTCGGTTGTACTGGGTACAAGTATTGTACTTGAAAATTATTGAAAGTTGAAATTGAGTATAATCATTCTTGAATACCGGTAAATGTAAATAGAACTCAATACTTTTCAAGTAACTATTCTACACTTAATACTGCGTACTTTGAATCGATCCTGAGTAC